AGGTGCTGGTAACCCATGGGACAAATAATAATGATAGTAATAGTCGATAGTCTAAAAGTGGTACTTAAGCATTTGTATCTTCATATTCGCATGTGAATTGCATAAGTGATCAATGAATATCATTTAACTTTGAACAAGTTCTGATCGTTTGAAAATTAGAAATATGTCATCTACGCCTCTGATAGGGTTGACTAAGCTCATTAATTCAATATGAGATGTGAAGAGGTTTACAACGATAGGGGACACTAATGAATCCATAGGTACTCCATTTGTTTATTTATGTAATTTCCTTCTAAAGATGAAAGGTGTGTTTTAACAAAATTCGATTGGTTTCATGATGAGGCTAAGGTTGAAAGGTGATCTATTTGTCAAGGTTTATCCAAACTCTCATAATTCACCTATGAAATGTAAACATTTTTCAGTTGGACTACTAGTATACAATAAAGTGGCATCACATTCATTGTGATAGTTACGTCTGATATTTTTAACTTCAATCTATAAGAATCTTTTACTGAGTAGATATCAGAATGTTGGACAGACTTTAGTACTGACTAATAACTGATACCGACAACACTTGTTCCCGTATTATTATTATTATTATTATTATTATTATTATTATTATTATTATTATTATTATTATTATTGTATGGGAACGTGTTGTGATTTGTCTCCATTTACATACCATAACTTGTACAGGTTTTATTCTTTCAAGAAGCTACTTCCACGAGATTGTAGAAACGTCGGAAACTTGTTAATTTTCTAGCTCATTTATAAATTATTTGGATAGTTGGAAACACTGTTCATCTTACTTGGCTGTTTAGTAGTTTCCGTTTATTTAAGTAACGTAAAGTTGATGGATAATTTTCCACATCTTTTCCATTCAGGGGTATCGAGTTGTAATACACCCTCTCCTACGTCGTAAACATTGGTGTAGGAGGTAGTCAACTGCAGCTAATATCTGAGGGCTAATGATACTACTACCACTTAGCTGTCCAAACCTTGATCAGTGGAGCGGGGTTCGAACCCGTGACCCAGAGTTGGAAAGTCATCTCCTTAAATCAGTAAGCCACAGCTTAAAGGTGCAACTCACTCCTGATTACAATGAATGGTTACAAATATTACCGTATGGTGACTATATACTTTACTACCTATCCTATAAATCTAAGATGTTATGGATGGAAGCAAAAGGTGTCATCAGTTTACTTCGACATCGAAAGCTTTACTACAAAGAGTAAATCGTATTCCCTGTTTTTCTTTTGAATTCTCATGCTGAAAAAGGTTTCAGTGAACAGGACACTGATTTTCCAGTTGATTTTCCTTTCTCTGAATTCTATATTTCGTTTTGTTTCAGGAATATGATCTTTCTGCCCGAATCCAATGGGTTTCCTCGATTTGTGTAATCCAGTACAAATTTCATGAATACCGTGGGTTATGACTGTAGAAAAAGTGTAAAATGTATTGTGAAAGGCGTATTGCAAAGAGCTTCTGTTAATTGAGTCGAAGAGTTGTGTTAAATGAGTATAGGCAATTGGTAGAAGGATAGCCCTAGTTGACTAAGATTTTCCGCTTGTTTCTGGTCGTCAGGAAGACGAATCTGCAAACTTATGGCAACAGATGCTTCCCGAGAGATTCAAACTCGCTTCAACAAGTGCTAAATACAGAAAAGTAACCCATGTAACGTTCTAGTCGCAAAAGACCTCTAACAAGACTGAATTATATGGATTAATAAATCAATGAGACAAGGCTGTCTATTATCACCGTTGAACTTCCTGATTGCGGTCAACTCAAATCAGCTGCACTGGATCATGTGAGAAACTATTAGGAGCGACAAAATGGACATACGCTGGCTACAAAGATGAAAAGAATCTAGAACGTTTGGATTTCGCCAGTGATGCTTTATGCCTCGTGTCTTGCCGCACAAACTCGAAGATGTACCAACAAAAACTAATAGGTTGGTAGAAGAGGCAAGGCAGCGAAGGTGAAACTTCCTTAAGGTGAACGTAGAGAGGAAAGAGGTGATAAAGACACCCAACCAACAACAACAAGCATCAATCACCATGAGAGGGAGAAATCTAAACCAACTTATCCCTTTCACCTACCTACATACATAACTAGACAGCATAGTCTCCACTACAGGCGTCATCGCCGTCGGTGGCGGCGACACATATGAGGATGTGAAAGCCAGAATCGGAAAGATAGCAAGACACACATTCCTTCATCAATCTGTGGAGATCAGTGTGGAGATCGACTGCACTGCACTGCGCTCAGCATAAAGCGTGAACAACATCCGGATTTCCAACACCAATTCAGTCAAGTAAGTCACTGCTTCTATGTGATGTTGGTTGACAGAGTTGGCGCTTCACGAAAAGCATTTACAACAAACTGCACACATACATCATCAACAGGTGCTGCCCATGCTCACTCCATACTGAGGATCTGATCACATCATATGAGAAAGCGAGGAAGAACTGTGGCCTGACAACCAACCAACCAAGCAAGGAAGCAACGAAGCAAGAAGCTATCACCCAACGAATATGTAGAAGAAGAAAGTGGAGATGGATTGAATTGGAATGGATTGTAGTAATAGCGAGAAGACGGTTTGGGGAGATGAGGTGTCAGTGGATGCCAGACCATCGAGTGGAGCGTGAATGTGAAGTGATGAGTTGGGTGTTTGATGATGATATGGAGTAGATGGTGTGATGAATAAATGAAGGATTATGTGTAGTGTTGTCTGGAGGTTGATGAGAGTGGAGAGTGTAGAGTGGAGATTAGAAAGTGAAATGGTGGCTTTCCACTGAAGTATATATCTCACTAGGAATCTATGGGACAAATATAATAATAATAATACTAGGTCACTGGAGAGCGACCAATCTGTTGTTGTTTGGTCCCGACTTTTGGGTGGCCAATCAATGTAGAATGGTATACTTTGCGCATGTTTCAGAGCTATTCACTTCTGGAAATAATAATAATAATGATAATGATAATGATAATAGCAATAATAATAATAATAAATTGTCCCTTGGGTTCCTAGTGGAACATACAGCTTCAGTAGCACGTTGTCATCTCACTCTCTTCATATTCACCTTAAGGAAGTCCCATCTTCGCTGCCTCGTCTCTTCTACCAACCTATTAGTTTTCGTCGGTACATCTTTGAGTTTGTGCGGTAAGACACTAGACATAAACTATCATTGGCAAAATCTAAATGTTCTAGGTCCTTTTCATTGGTGTAGCTAGCGTATGTCCATCTTGTCGCTCCTAATGGTTTCTCGCATGTTCCAGTGCAGCCCTGTCCAGCTAGCTACGATCACTAAGATCATCGGTGATAGTAGGCGGTTACTTTGCCTTACCTGTCAACCTGTCTTCACCTAGATGGCATCATTCAGCTTTCCGTTGTGAATCACTTGGCATCTAGCATCATATAGCTGTTGTTGAGTGATGTTGATAAAGGTTTGTTGCACTTAATCGTAGTGTTGAAGCAGCTGCCTGCCAAATTACTTCTCGGTTGACACTATAGAAGTCATTTTCAGAGTCGATGAAGATGATATTGAGTGTTGACTGCCATTCTATACTCCGTTTGGTGATGATGCGTAGTGTAGCGTTTCAATCTGATCCGCACCCGATTTGTGCTTCCTGAATCCAGTCAGCCTGTTTCGGTCGTTATTTTGAATCCAGCTCATCCTTTAGTCTCTCTAAGATGTGGCTCAATATTTTGCTTGGTGTGGACAGGAGCATGATTCCACGCCGGTTCTTGCAGAGACTTAGGTCACCTTTCCTTAGGAGTTTGACAAGGTAGCCCTTCTTTCAATCGGTAGATACCTCTTTTTCCGTTCAACGCTTCTGCAACAGTCGTGTGACAATGTTGGTTATTGTCTCTGCGTCTGTTTTCAGTACTTCTGAGGGAATTCCATCTGGTCCTGCTATTTTCCTGGCTTTCGGTAACTTTCTGGTATCCTGCTTATGTAGGATTATTTGTGTTCGCTGGTAATTCTATGGGTGGGTTGCTGGTGGTATTTCTGGACGAGTTACAGTTGCTGGTGGCGGTCGATTGAAGTGTTCAGCCCACCGTTTCCTTTGTGTCTCCTCTTTGGTAGCCAAGTTTCCTTCCAGCAATAAGGATATCCAAATTTCGTGAAGGAAGACTGAAGCATCAATGAGGCTAAAACAGAGTCATACAATTAACGAAATAGCATTGTAAGAAAAGACTATTCCTACAGCTTGAAATTAGCTGCTGGCGGTCACAAATGTTGATTCATTTACCTTCATGACATTCAGCATACTCCTTTTCAAAGAACTAATTTCCAATCACTTCTGTGTTTGAAAAAAGGCATGCTGAAATAAACCAATCATTTATTATTTGTTAAAAAAAAAGGTCGAAACTTGAATAATACAAATAATATGAAGTTATTGTAGTCAATCTTGAATGATTATACTTCAATTCACATTCACTTAAATAAACCAGAATAAAATACATTCCACCTGAAGTTGTTTGAACCCAGAAGAGAATATGAGAAATTATGTTCCTATAGAATATTGAAATACAACTGTTGTTTAGAAATATACGAAATAAAATTTTCTATGAAATATAATGATGCAGTAACATAATTTATGACTACTATAATTGTCGGTATATTTTCAAGATAAACCAAGACACTACTTATTTAAAATGTCAGTAGTATGTCGATTTAAACATAATAAATAATGACTAGTACAGTCAGTGTATAGTATTTTGGTATAAGGGTTATAATTTTCAAATTATTTGCATGGATGAGAATTGTTCAGGAAATTTTTCTGTAACACAGCATAGTAATGATTTTTTGTTCTCTGTAATATGTATATATAAATATATATCAGATTGGTCGGCATTAGTTTAGTTTTAAATGGAGAGAAATTATGACTAGTATTTATGATTTATTTCATTTAAACAATCGACTCGAGCGAAGATTGAATTGAAGGTCAAACTGATCGAAATACTTTTGTAGTTGACAATTATTTAGCTCATTTTATGCTGATTGTTTTTTATTAACTGATGAATTTTCTTTCATTCCTGATAAATTATAAATAACATAGTCATTTTTTGATGAATTTATTCTATTCTCTGATGAATCAATAGAAACTTTTCCACTGCCTGAACCAGCTCCACTATCAGATTGAGAATTTAATGTCCCAACTGGTGTTGATGTATTTGTGCATAAATTTGTTAATATTTGTGAATTAGGCGAATTTGTATAACTAAGTTTATTCATTAGTACAGCTAATTGAGATTGTGATGATCCAACTGGTTGTGAACGATTAATAATTGGTGATGAATTTTTAAAAGTTACCGGAATTTGATTGGTTGGATTATATGTCTGATCAGTAGTAATTAAATAAGCTGATTGGTTATTACTCATATTCATTGATGAACGTGATGGGGATAATTTACCTTTTAAAATATACTACTACTATTATTATTAGTAGTATTGTTAATATTACGTGTATTAATCATTGGTGAATGATTGACTAAATTCTCAGTGATTACAGATTCACAATGACCACTATCTTGTCCACCAGAATTCGATGGAATAATATTCGTTTCAGATAGAATACTTGAATCTGGTTGACCAATACTACCAAAACATGAACCCATCCCATCGGAACCAAGTTGATTAACTATACCGGTTTCTGTATTATTATTCAGATGATTTTGTAATTCCATAAAGTGTTGTTGATGCTGTAAATAGAAATTAGTAACAGCTGCAGCAATTTGTTGTTGTGATGAATGTGATGCTAAAGAATTAGTCCCCATTCTTTGTACACTGGAGATAGATCGACGATGTGATTCATTACTGTTATTGTTATTATTTGTCCATGTCATTGGCAATTGACCAGGTACTAAAGAGAACGCTGATATTGATTGTCTGTTGCCTGATTTACCGTCTGGTAAGTAGCGTAGATGGATATCAGCTGGTAGACCAGATGACTGGTTATCACTGAATGCCATCCCAGGATAGTTTAAACCGGTCACATACTCCGATCCATAGTCTATAGATGGTTGGTATGATTCATATCCATTGGGTTGTGGTTGAAGTTTATTCATCATTAACAGACTACTGCCAGCTGCAGTTGTATTACCGTCATGGAGTAGATTGGCTAGACGTATCTGTTGTTGTTGTTGTTGGAGTCGTTGTTCTTGGCTTTGATTCTTTTCCAGTTTATCACGATAACCACGACCTTTACCATTGATCTGTTTCACTATGCGGGCATTGCGTATCTCTTCAGCCATACAGAACAAATGTTGCATGTGTACGCGATCTTTGGTTTCTGGAAAACAAAGCAGAGAAATCAAAAAAAGGTTTTAATTTCAGCGTAGATTAAATCCATCAAAAGAGGCTGATTAATTCAGCCTTTAGAACAGAGCATGGAATGGAAGTCAACTCAACTCAACCTCAACTTCCTCTACTTTGAAAAGGCTTTCGACAGCATCGACCGAGAAGTAATATGCCAGCTGCTTCAACGCTGCGGTTTAGTGATACAAACCCTTATCAAACTCACTCAATAGCTAAATGATGACACCAAATGACAAGTGTTTAACAATGGAAAGCTGAGTGATACCTTCGAAGTAAAGACAGGAGTATGACGAGACAAGATTGAATACTATCACCGATGATCCTTCGATTGTGATCACTTGACTCGACTCAACTAAACAGGTTCATGCAACAAACTGTGAGGAACAAGAAAATCGGCATACACTGATTGACTAATGAAAATAACCTAGAACATTTAGATTTCGCCAATCATGATTTGTGTCTAGTGTCATATATCACACAACCTCGAAGGTGTACAGAGGAAAACTAACAAGTTGGCAGAAGAGGGAAGTCAGCCAAGACAGGACTTCCTTCAGGTGAACATAGAGAGGAAAGAGATGATGAAGATACTCAACCTGAAGGATAAACAACAACAAAAACAACAATCAGAAGCATCAACCACCATGAAAGGGGGAAATCTAAACCAATTTATCCCTTTCACCTACCTACATACATAACTAGACAGCATAGTCTCCACTACAGGCGTCAACTACAGGCACTGCACTCAGCATAAAGCGTGAACAACATCCCGATTTCCAACACTAATTCAGTCAAGTAAGTCACTGCTTCTGTGTGATGTTGGTTGACAGAGTTGGCGCATTGCGAAAAGCATTTACAACAAACCACACATACACACACACATCATCAACAGGTGCTGCCCATGCTCACTCCATACTGAGGATCTGATCTGATCTAATCTAATCTGGTCAGATGAGATGAGATGAGATGAGAAGACGAGGAAGAGTAAGCAAGGAGGAACTGTGGCCTGACAATGAACGAACCAACCAACCAACCAAGCAAGGAAGCAACGAAGCAAGAAGCTATCGCCCAACGAATATGTAGAAGAAGAAAGTGGAGATGGATTGAATTGGAATGGATTGTAGTAATAGCGAGAAGACAGTTTGTGGAGATGAGGTGTCAGTGGATGCCAGACCATCGAGTGGAGAGTGAATGTGAAGTGATGAGTTGGGTGTTTGATGATGACATGTAGTAGATGGTGTGATGAATAAATGAAGGATTATGTGTAGTGTTGTCTGGAGGTTGATGAGAGTGGAGAGTGGAGAGTGAAATTGTGGCTTTCTACTGAAGTGTTATATTCCACTAGTAACCCAAGGGACAAATAATAATAATAATTTGTAGGAAATAGTAGAGACTTACAAGGGGCGGCACAGACGAGGACGTCAATTAGAGCCAGGATCGGAAAGACAGCAAGGCAGGCTTTAATTAATCTGAAATCACTGTGGAGATCTACTACACTCAGCATTAAGCGTGAACAAGATCCAGATTTTCATCACCAATGTCAAGTGAGTGCCACTATATGGTTGAGAAACTTGGCACGTCACGAAAAGCACTTACAACAAACTACAGAGATTCATCAACAGCTGCCTACGACCGGTAGTGAAGATCGGAGGAGAAAGCGAGAAAGAATAAGCAACAGGAAACTTTGTAACGAACCAACGAAGAGGCTGTAACCCAACAAATATGCAGGAGAAGAAGGTAGAAATGGACTGTTAGCACTGAGAAGGCCGACTGGGATATCACGTGTCAGACACCCGAGTGGAATCGAAAGGGGAAACGACGACTTGGGTGTCCGATGTGAAGGTGATATGGAGGAGATCATGTGAGGAAGAAATGGAAGGTTATGGGCGGTCGTGGAGCCAGGTTGAAAAGACTGCAGAGAACAGAGTGCGATGGAAGCGTGTTACTGAAGCCCTGCATCCCACTAGAAACACCAGGGGCTGATAATCACTATCATAATAATAATAGAGATTAGCATGTTTAAATATCATTTGATCTCCTATCACTTCTAAGTATTAATTACAAAAGGAAGCAAACTTGGCAACATCCAGTTGAGAAAAACACATGTTCTGCTTGATAAAATCGTTTGTTTTAAGCTGATTGCCATATAGAGTAGCATTTGAACACCAGTGAAGAGATGACTCCAACGGGTGACAAAGATTCATATGAGTTACCTTTAAAAATTTCTTTATCAACGTTCATCTGCATCAGCTGCTTCCTAGTTTATAGTTTACGGCATCAAATGAAGATACTTTTAAACAATGCACCATTAGATGCTAACTGGATACAACTATCTTTCATCCAATGGCGCTACATCATACACTGACCACCTCTACGCTTCTGACGTCAAGTTCCAGGGCTATCAAACAATGAAGAGTAGGGAAGCTGTTTGGATGATATGCGTAACACATGTCCAGGCCACCGATCACAATGTTTCCGGATCACTTCACTTATTGAATGATGATCTCCATCTCCTGGGTAACCCTACGGAGACAACGATGATCGAGTACAGAGAGTTATCGCACATCCTCAGCTCAAACAGGGCAGGGTATGCAGGCGTATAGCAAAACTACTCGCACTAAAGTGCTATAAACCCGACCTTTTACGGTCAAACTAATATGGTGAAGGTGCCAAAGGTGGTCTGCACTGACGTATGCCACTCTGTTTTACGATACGCAATTTGAAATTTCACTACCCACACCTCCACTAGAACTCACACAAATAGCCATATACACGAATAACTTTTTGATTACTTCCAGTGGCTCACCATCGACAGTGAGCGCAGACACAGGCTCCTACCAATCCTTCAAAAGCACTTCGATGGCGTACAGCACATACCATACCTAAGGACACTAATCACCAACTGACTAACTGCGGGTCCAATTTTAGCGTAAAACCTGAATCATTTCCCCTTCATTCCACATTCAGTCACTTCATTATGAAAAGTTCGATTGATGTTGTGTTAAATCTAAAGTGGTGATTACTAGACGCAAACTAAGATAACACACAAATACCCCTAACAGTTCCAAATAACATATTCAAGTCTATTGTCTAGACCGTAATGTGAGTGTGGATTTTGACCAAGGTAGTGACAGTTACAGCCGTCAACTGTCGTGCTTCTGTAGAGAAGAATCGTCGGAACGATTACCTGGTAGAGTTGACAAGAATTTTTCAAGCAGTATACAGTCAAAATTAGGCGTTTAGTCTTCAAACAAGTAAACTAATGGAATGACAGAGACTAGTTTGTACAAAAAGTCAATCGCAGAGATGAGAACAGCCAATCAGAATAAAGGTCACAAGTGCAAAAACGTATAGGGAAGTGGAAGTTACTATGACTCACCACAAATACGATTTCTTGCAGTGAGAAGATTGACACAATAATGATAAATAAACAAGCAAAGTAACACTTTCTCAAATTCTTCAATGCAAGATGTAACATAGTATCGATAAGAAAGATATTTTTTGATCACTTATTTGGTTCCGTATCCTTCAGTGGACCTGGCTTTCCGTCGAGAAACTTTTAACCACTGTCATTCAGTATAGTAGTGATGGGCAGTGGAATCTAGGATGCGCATTTTGTCCTATTTGGGACTCATCATCTGGATGTACCTGCCTGCCCGCGGGTGTTGTCCCCACCGGGACTCGGACTCGGGAGCGATCGCTTCACATGCCAGAGCGTTATCCACTACATCACCGAGCCATGGTAGCCACTTCTTATGCGACGAGTCCCCGTGGGCCAACATCACTCACTGGGAGGCTGGTACATCCAGCTGACGAGTCCCAAACAGGAAGAAATACGCATCCTGGGTTCCACTACTGACTACTGCCCATCATTACTATACATAATTAAAACGCAGGCAATATCGAGGCATTCACACAGCAGCCCATATGCCAACAGAGACTGATCAATTCAGTCCAATCAACGACGTTGTAATACAAACAATAACACTACCATTTTTCCAAATTGTTTATTTCCCCAATCAATAAAGGGTCACTGAACCCCTGAAAAAAAGCCAAACAAGTGATTGCTTTATCGTGAAATGCTTGCGCATAGTTTGCATCTTTCAATACCACTTTGTATACTATCATATTATATTTAGTAACATATTGGCTTTCAGATATAAGAAAGACTGACTTACTAGAGTATTGACGAATCAATGCACATCGGATACAACAGAATACATTGACTATGAGTGAGATGAATACAAAAATAATGGCGCCAATGATCAATACTTCACGTGTCAATGCAGCTGGAAATGGAAAGAAACAGAGTTATTTATCAACTATTGTTTGCTTATGAAAATGTGAATAGTAATTAAAGATTGTTGTACTTCATTGTTTACTTTAATAAATAGTATCCAATTGTAGACATAAAACTGTGTGGAACAATGTATATTCACTGGTGATCATGGTATATTTTAATGAAGCCCGTCTACTCGAACACTTATGGGTGTATTAGAGCCTATAGTGAGATATTTGGGGAGATATGCTCGTCGGGTGGTGTCCGTCAAGGATGCCCACTGTCTCCACTCTTATTCAATTTTATCATAGATGTTCTTATGGAGGTCTCCCTCTCGTCACCTGATTACACAAAGGTTGACCTAATCACCGGAGAATTTTTCTTAGACCTAGAATATGGAGATGAAATTGTCCTGTTGGGTGAAGACACTGAAAAGATGCAGAGTCTTCTGAACACTTTGAGTGGGAATTTGAGAATGTTTGGGATGCGTTTCTCACCATCCAAATGCAAATTTTCACTCATTTATTGATCTTCAACGGTGCCTCGGTTAACAATTGAGAGTGTAGTGGTTGGGTGTGTCGACCTCTTCACTTACCTCGGAAGTGAAGTAGGATTAGTTCTGGTGGCTCAGCGGCCAATGAAATCTCTGTACAAATACAAAAGACTCGACTGGCTTTCGCCAACTTACCCAACTTATGGCACCACCGTGATATCCGTTTTTCTATTAAGGGTGGCGTGTACTGCACAGTAGTCCGGTCTGTTCTACTGCATGGCTAAGAAACATGACCATTGAAGGTGGAAGACATGAGAAGACTTGAGGTGTTTGACCACCGTTGCCTTGTAGTATAGGCTATATACATATATTAACACTAGCAACAACACTACAACTATACCCATCGCACAAGTAATAGCGTCGTGGCTCGGTGGTCTAATGGATAATCCGGTGGCGTTTAAGTGGCCAGCTTCAAGCTCTAGTCCCATTAAGAACTTCACTTGCTGGGAGGCAGATACGCTCAACACTGAGACTGTGCCCTTCACACAAGAAATGAATATCATGGCTCGTTGGTCTGGTGGATGACGCTCTGGTATTTGAAGTGATCGATCCCTACTTCAATTCCAGGTGGGGACAACAATTCCTAGGAGGCAGGTACATTCAGTTGACGAGTCCCAAGTAGAATGAAACGCGCGTCATGGATTCCACCGATCATCAGCAGGTTTCACGTAAGGCTGAGAAAAAAGTTTTAAATGTATCAATCCGTAAACCCATCAACTTAAAAGTAAGTTTTTTCATACTTATGGTTTATTTTATTGGTCCGTGCTCTTCATTCATGTTCAAAATAGAACATCAAGAGAATAAGAAAATGGTTCACATTCTTTTTGCACACATGAACTCTTCTTTTTTTTTTATCTAAAGAAGGTTGCTAATGCTGTCAGTAATTGAGCCTTGGTTATTCATAAAACAAATTTGTTTTACTAATATCTACTGATCAGATGTGATACAGTTGCTAGTGGTTTCATCATTTTTGTCACATTCTACACAGTGAAAAATGAACAGAACTTTTGATAAAATAATAATTCGTATTTTTGGTAGTGATAGTACCTTGTGTTTTCGTCACAGGATGTCAGACGCAAAAGTGTTCTTTTGTCGATTTTATCTGCCTACTTATAATTTATAAGTAGCACAACAGATAAGTAGAAATTTTCGAGAGACAAAGTTCAACTGAATATCATGGATTGTATTCCGTTTTTTTCTTGATAATTATTAACCATTAAGAAGAAAATCCTGTGTATGCAAACAATGAGAAAGAATTATGCTCCTCTGTGAGACGCTAGGTGTTTTAAAAATGGGGATTACAGTTGATTTGGAAGTTTCGACTATCATATTTACGCTTTCTAATAGTTATCGTCTAACTAGGCGGGAAATAAACGTATTCATAAATTATGGTAAGCAGAAAGTCAAGTTGAATGACCCACCAGCTATATTTTGAGCAGATGTTTAGAAGATGGATCTCAGTACACGTGAAGTATAATGGAGAGAAAAGAGAAGTCTAGTAAAGTGTAAAGAGCGTTAGTCAGAATTTTAAAAAGTTTCCAATACATTATTGGGTTCTCAACTTCGGTCAGTTGTGTTACAAATGACCTAGTCGTTTGGTAACTTTCAATTTTAAAGTGATCGGAAGTTTTGAAACAAAGCACCAATCAGATCTTAGGTTAAACAGTCGTGTAATCATATTCTAACTAACAAATTCTCGACCTGTATTTATGAACATACTAACTAACTCAATCTATCCCTGACGGGGTGTAAAGTGTGCACTGCTGAGGAGTCCCATACTATGACGAAAAAGCTGTTCAATGCCAACCCTAAATCAGATTAGTTGGTTTGTATCTTTTGATGTTCATTGAGATCTGACATGTGGGGAATCCATCAAAACAACTCGATGAAACATAGAACGTATGCTCATCCGCCTAGACTGCTTTAATCGTATTGTATATCAAATATCAAATTCATTTACAAATGAATTTCCGGTTAGATTTTCCCGTAAGTTATGTCCTTCTGTGCATTATTATGGTTACTATTTGTTCCATAGGTTCCTAGTGAAACATATACTTCAGTAGAAAGCCACCATTTCACTCTCTAATCTCCACTCTACACTCTCCACTCTCATCAACCTCCAGACAACACTACACATAATCCTTCATTTATTCATCACACCATCTACTACATATCATCATCAAACACCCAACTCATCACCTCCCATTCACGCTCCACTCGATGGTCTGGCATCCACTGACACCTGATCTCCACAAACTGTCTTCTCGCTATTACTACAATCCATTCCAATCCAATCCATCTCCACTTTCTTCTTCTACATATTCGTTGCGTGATAGCTTCTTGCTTCGTTGCTTCCTTGCTTGGTTAGTTGGTTGATTGTCAGACCACAGTTCCTCTTCGATTTCTCATCTGAGGTGATCAGATCCTCAGTATGGAGTGAGCATGGGCAGCACCTGTTGTTGATGATGTGTGTGTGTGTATGTGTGGTTTGTTGTAAATGCTTTTCGTGAAGCACCAACTCTGTCAACCAACATCACATAGAAGCAGTGACTTACTTGACTGAATTGGTGTTGGAAATCGGGATGTTGTTCACGTTTTATGCTGAGTGCAGTGCAGTGCAGTGCAGTCGACCTCCACACTGATCTCCACAGATTGATGAAGGAATGTGTGTCTTGCTATCTTTCCGATTCTGGCCTTCACATCCTCATATGTGTCGCCGCCACCGACGGCGATGACGCCTGTAGTGGAGACTATGCTGTCTAGTTATGTATGTAGGTACGTGAAAGGGATAAATTGGTTTAGATTTCCCCCTTTCATGGTGGTTGATGCTTCTGATTGTTGTTTTTGTTGTTGTTTATCCTTCAGGTTGAGTATCTTCATCACCTGTTTCCTCTCTATGTTCACTGAAGGAAGTCCTGTCTTGGCTGATTTCCCTCTTCTGCCAACTTGTTAGTTTTCCTCTGTACACCCTCGAGGTTGTGTGACATATGAAATTAGACACAAATCATGATTGGCGAAATCGAAATGTTCTAGGTTATTTTCATTAGTCAATCAGTGTATGCCGATTTTCTTGTTCCTCACAGTTTGTTGCATGAACCTGTTTAGTTGAGTCGAGTCGAGTTGATCACAATCAGAAGGATCATCGGTGATAATATGCAACCTTGTCTTGTCTTACTTCTGTGACATTAGATGTAATGATGAACTCTCTAAGTCCCTCAGTATATTACAAGATAAGAGGTTATCAAGTAGAATCAAAGTAGGTTAACTAACAGTTTATTACTTATTGCAGAAAATGGTAAATAGTGTGAGTTGTTATGCAATGATTTCAGCAGTCATCGTAAGCGGTTTATTACTTCTATTGGTCAAGAAGCTTTAGCCATGTTTCCATTCTAAAACAATCTTGAGGTGGAAGTTATCGATTGTTCCTTATAAGTTAATCTCGTCTTCTGACTTTTGCCTACCGTTTAAGTGACCCTCAGTCGATACGGTCAGTACAAAGAAACATGAGTTTTATAAAATCCTCAGTAGTAAATTACACTATGGGGTGGTATATCATCCAGATTAGACTAATTGACGACTGCTACAAAGTAAGGCTAGCTTCCTATCAATTACAGTTTAAACATCGAACATCCATCACAGTACACTATGATGTTCAGTGAGTCAGCTAAGGGATCACAATACAAAACTTGTTCAAGAGAGTTTGGTCAGTCTGAAATTGGTTACCCGTCAGTGAAAGATCAGAGTGAAATTCTTACAGTTACACTGCCGTAAGAATAGAAAATCATCGATTTATTTCAACACACTTTTGTTCTAGATAACTCACACATAAAATTGGTCATAAAAAAGTAGTTTCCTCTCCTATTCATTCATTCATTCGCCTACATTAGCTACGCACTTTCTCTCTCTTTCTCCCTCACACACACACACACACAGACCAACGGGTGCCGATAATTACAGGAAAGCCCACTGCGTTTTAGTTTTGTGAAATAAAATGTTTACCGTTTCATTATAATAGTTTAATTGGCATTTTGGTTATGCGGTAATTTATAATACTAAAACGTTGGAAATAGTGATTAAATGAGAGAAAATTACTAATTTTCTCTTTTATATAGTTGAATAGAATGAAGCCTTTGTACAAATGATTGACTTATGCATCGGAATTTTTCGCGGTATATTTAAACTAAACACAGAATAGATGATTTAGCACAAATAGTGTCACTGTTCTAACAGTTTCTACTATCACTAATGATCTTCCTAAATGTGGTCGACTGGATCTTGCAGCAAACAGTGAGGGCCGAGAAGAGGAAGATACCCTGCTTGACCGAGGAAAAGATCCTAGAAGATTTACATTTTGCCGATGACTTGTATCTAATGTCACGCAAACTTGAAGATCTACAGGTGAAAACTAACAAGTTGACAGAAGAGGTAGGGCAGGGCAGCGAAGAAGGGACTTCCTC